AGCCTTGGGACCTGGCATTAGGAAGTGGAACCTTCTATTGGTACTTGGTGTGGATCATCCCACTGAGGTGGATTGGCTACTTCATCTCTGGAGGCAGAGGAACTGAGAGTCCTAACATGAGAACCCAATGTCCAGCTATGCTAAGAGCCTCAACAGGCACAGTTCACCTGGACTGTGGGATGACGACTGTAGCACAAGGGACAGAAGTGAGTCTCCTTTTCGGGCAAAATGAGTGACTGTACTTACAAATCTTCAGGTGACTTCCCAGGGGCAAGCACAAGTGATAGAGAGAAGCCACTAATGTGATTTTAATAGAAGGGAAAGATTTACCCCTCTTGGTACCTGTCTTTCCAAATATAAGTGTATCCTTGCAGTGTAGTGAATTACATGAAATGGGACTTCTAGATACAGTCTTTGTAATTCCTATCAAATGACTCCATGAAAACAAAACCCAAATTCACTGCCACTGAGCCAATTGCTACTCAACACAAGCCTGTATTAGGTGTCCAGGACTGTGAAACTTTATGGAAGTAGACAGCGTCATCTTTCTCAACTGGAGCAGCTGGTGGGTATGAACCATTGACTTTGTGGTTAGCAGTCCAGTACGTATCTTATAGTGCGACCAGAGCTCCTACATGACTGGGTTGTTGTTGTTGTTAGGTGCCATGGACTTGGTATGGACTCAGCAACTCGATGCACAACAGAACAAAACACTGCACCAACATCACAGTCATTGCTACGTTTGAGCCCATTGCTGCTGACACTGTGCTAATCCATCTTATTGGGGATCTTCCTCTTTTTCACTGACGCTTCACTTTAGCAAACATGATATCCTTCTCCAAGGACTGGTCCTTCCTAATACTATATCCAAGTGTGAGAGATGAAGTATTGATATCCTGGCTTTCGAGGAACAGTCTGGCTGTACTTCTTTCAACACAGATTGGTTTGTTCTTTTGGCAGTCCATGGTACTTTAATGTTCTTCTCCAACACCATAATTAAAATTCATCAATTCTTCTATGGTCTTTCTTATTCACTGTCCAACTTAAACATGCATATAAGGCAATTAAAAACACCATCTTAGATCTTCAACATTTTAAAGAGATCTTGTGCAGCAGATTTGCCCAGTGCAATACATTGTTTGATTTCTCCACTGTTGCTTCTGTAAGTGTTAATGGTTGATCTGAGCAAAACAAAGTCTTTGACAACTTCAATTTTTTCTCCATTTATATGGATGTTGTTTATTAGTCCAGTGGTGAGTTTTGTTTTTTTTTTTTCTTTTCTTTACATTGAGCTGCAATGTAAATTGGTAGACTTGTGTAAATGAGGTGTTTGTGGCCCAGCAATGGAATTGGATAGCTTGTTAATAAGGTAAATAAGGCACATGACACCTTTGTGGTGGGACCATGTAAATTAGGTATATAGAACTCTAACATAAGGATTGGTCAGTCTGTCATCCTGCTAGGCTTAAAAAAAAGCCATTTAAGAAACAGTAAGGGGGACATTACTACCATCAAAAAAGAAGACCTGGAGATCCCTGCACTTAACCTCCTCAGTCCAGCAGACAGAGTTGTAACAATACAGATGGCAGAGAGACAGCAGAGAAACAGAGGCAGCAGAACCAGGAGACTGAAAGGAGATGGCACACTGGGCTTCCCGGCCCACAGAGCAAGAAACTTGAGTGCCTTTGGCCAGGTGGGGTTCCTCTAGGACACTTAATCAGGGCAGTTGGGTTTGCCACCTATGAACTGAGGCTTATTGGTGGGGTTGGGTGCCTCTGTGCATTTATTGACAGAGCTAAAAGAGATTGATAATATTTCTGGAGCAGGGCAAAGGCCAAGGATCCATGTGGCTGAGAGGCCAAGAACACAGAGAGAGGTATACTTGAGGGCAAGACCAAGAAGAGGCTGTCTGGACCAAAGAACTGTATCCTGAGCATTTCTGATCTCAAATTGTACCCTGTTAACTTCCCTAATAAACCCCATAACCAAGAATATTATCTGTGAATTGTACATGGTCATTTGCAATGAATTATCAATACCAGCAGAAAAGCAGAGAGAGCCATGGGATGAATGGTTGATGTTAGAATTGGTAGAAAGGTTAGAGGATGGAGGCATGTCTGACCTCTGCCTCATAGGGATCAGCTAATGGTAATTCTCTCGTCCTTGGGTGAAGTCAGAGGTGGTCTAATGCAGCCCCTGCACAATTTTTACACTCTTACTCTGCTTTTTTCCCTCGGGACTGCTAACGTCTTCTTAGAGTGGGATCACACTTTCCCAAAGTCCTGGAGTTAGAAAACCAAAAAAGAAGAACACATTCAGCATTGCTCAAGCTGAAAGAACTGAAGAAAAAAAAATCAAGCCTTGGATTGCAATACTGAAGTATTCTACGGCCAAAATGTTGAAGTATGAAGGAATGTCCATAACAAAAAGAAATGGTAGATGTCCAACCATTTCAAAAGATAGGACGTGATCAAGAACCAATGGGATTGAAGGAAGAAGTCCAAGCTGCACTGAAGGCATTAACGAAAACCAAGGCTCCAGGAATTTATGGAAAACAAATAGAAATCTTTCAGCAAACTGATGCAGCACTAGAGGTGCTCACTCATCTATGACAAGAAAATTGGAAGACAGCTACCTGGCCAATAGATTGGAAGAAATCCATATTTGTGCCCATTACAAAGAGAGATGACCCAATGGAATGCAGAACTCATCAAACAATACCATTAATATCACATGCAAGCAAATTGCTGAAGATGATTTTAAAATGATTATAGCAGTACTTTGACAAACAGGAGATATAATCTTAGTATTAGGAGAGGGCATGAAACAAGAGATATTATTGCTGTCAGATGGATCTTGGCTGAAAGCAGAAAATACCAGAAAGATGTTCACTTATGCTTTACTAGATATGCAAAGGATTACTATTGTGTACTTATGACAAGCTATAGATAACATTGGAAACAAGAGGTATTCCATAACACTTAATTGTGCTCATGAGAAACCTGTACATAGACCCAGAGGCAGTCATTTGAACCCTAAAAGGGATACTGAATGGCTTAAAATCAGGAAATCTGTGTGCCAGGATTGTATTTTTTCACCACACTTCTTCAATCTGCTTGCTGAAGAACATGGCAACAAGATTGGAGGAAGACTCATTAACAACTTGCAATGTACAGATAATACAACCTTGCTTGTTGGAAGTAAAGAGGACTTGAAATACTTACTAATGAATACCAAAGACTACAGTCTTCAGTATGGATTACGCCTCAATATAAAGAAAATAAAAACTTTCACAATTGGACCAATAAATAACATTGTGATAAAAGGAGAAAAGATTGAAGTTGCCAAATACGTCATTTTGCTTGCATCCAAAAATCTGCAGCACAAGACTTCTTTAAAATGTTCTAGAGCAAAGACATCAGTTTGAGAACTAAGGCACACCTGACTCAAGCTATGGTATTTTCAATCTTCATGAATTCTTTTTTTTTTTAATTAAATGTTTTTATTTTGCATTGAGTGAAAGTTTACAGGGCACATCATCAGCTTCACATTCAACCATTCATATAGCTTGTTTCATTACATTGATTATTATCCCCGCTATATATCATC